GTTCTTCCCGTGAGAGTACCATAAAGAAATGGAGTGGGACCAGGCTCGGCAAAACTCGGAGCGCAGTGAAAATCAGGGTCGGCAAAAACAGGCTCGGAGGTACTGGTGGTTTAAAGCTACGCTACCAGCTGGGCCGCCCGGGTCCCGGGTGGCTAGCCCGTGCAAGGACCAAAGAAGGTCCTAGCAAAAAAAAAAAAAAAAAAAAAAAATCCATAAAATCCGAAAAAAACCTATGTTATGCAGAAGAATAAACTGAACAACTTTTGCGTCAGGGCCACATCGAGATTCTTAACCAAATTTAGAAAAAAAATAAAATCTAAAAATAATTCTTTTATTTTTATTTTTTTCAATTTTTTTTGCCCGGCCGGGCAAGTGACCCCGGGCCACTCTGGTAGCCTAGTTTTAAAGGCAAAAAAATAGAAATAAAAATATGGGGTTGTAGATCTCAAAAAGATATACAACCCCATATTTTTATTTTTATTTTTGTATATTTTGTTTTGCCCTTGAAACACCATCGTATGGTTGTCGTCCGTACACCCGTACGATCGTCCGTCCGTCCGTACGTGGACGTACGGGGGACGACACAGCCGGCTCCTTCTCTTCCTCCACGTCTTTGTTTCATTCCGCTCCTCCTCCTCCTCCTCCACGTGTTCCCTCTCCTCCCGCTCCTCCACGGCTTCGTCGTGCTCCCGCTCCTTTTGCTCCACATCGTCCTCCAAATATGGCCGCGTATATTTCCATGTTTTAGTGGAATATTCGTTCCGCACGTATTTGCAGGTGGTGTATCTTCCCATGCAGACGAAACATATGGCAGTGTATCTTACTATCCTCCCATGCAGTGGTGGAAGATTCATTCTCATTCTCGTTATTTTCTTGTCGCAAGTTTTTTTCGTTTTTTTTTTTTTCCAATTTAATTTTGGATCTTTGGTCCTCTTCGTAGGACCCTTCTCCTCCTCCTCGTCCTCGTCATCGTCCACCTCTCACTACGTCTGCCTTCCACTACGTTCCTCATGCACGCACGTCTCAACCTCCTACTCGTCTTTCTCGTCATTGAACCACTTTTCTTTTCTTCGCTCTTCTTCGGTCTTCTTCGTCCATCTTCATTGTGGTCCCCCTCCTTGTCGTTGTCGTCGTCCTCCCTCCTCCTTATTTGACCACCACTCCTAATCTTCCACCACGTCGTCTTCCCCCCTGGTCTTACAACTACCACTTGTACTCCTCCAACGCCTTTCTCGCCCACCCTAGCTCCTTTATGAGCTTACCATTCGTTTGGCTATTTTTAACAGGCAATTTATAGTTGTGGAACTTACCATTCGTCATGGACACTTTCGGTGTTTGGAACCCATCAGGGGTGGCAGAGCACCATGAATCTTGGAGCCCATTCTGTTGTGTTCGTTTTCACAGAAATCTCACCGCATAACTGACATTTCGTTAAAACTTACATTTTTTTCTAAATTCACGAAATTGAGCGTACAAAAAAACAACATTTTTTAGTGTTTTTTTGTCCCCATGACGTCGGATGATCAGATCATCGGGTGTCATGGCGACTCTCGATGATCTGACCATAGGATGTATGTTAACGGTACTTTACGTTGAGGTACATCAGATAGACAAAGTGAGATAACCACTTTCTCACCCGATGAGCAATGAAATTTTGACTAAGTCCACTTTCGTGAATTTAGAAAAAAATGTCAGTTTTAACGAAATTTCAGTTGCATAGTGCTTGGGGAAACACCGTCCAAGTTCTGATTGATTCAATCAATCAATCAATCAATCAATCAATCCTTGTGTTGGATTGATTCATTGATTGGTTGGTTGGTTGGTTGATTGATTGGTGTGTGTGCGTGTGTGTGTGTGTGTGTGTGTGTGTGTGTGTGTGCCGGGGGGGGGGGGGGGGGGGGGGGGGGGGGCTCTTCCACCAATCAATCAATCAATCAATTAAACAAACAAAAAAAAAAAAAAAAAGTACAATAAAAAACTGCGCAATCGTACAATCAAACGGAAAAAAGCAAAGTAAAAAAAAAAAAGGGGGGGTTCATTATTCCCCCCCCCCCCCTTAAAATGGACCCCCCCATTTTTCAACTTGTTTCATTTTTTTCAATGGGGGGGGGGGGTGGGGCGCTGGTCGCACCGTCGGAATCCCAACCCCGATTGGCAGGACCTCCCTCCCCTCGCCCTCAGCGACCTGATTTCGGCCGCGGCCGCGACGGTTATGACTGCGGCCCCGCGGCCCCGACCGTGGGCCGTGGTCATGCCTGCGGCGACCGCGGCCGCTGGGAATACATAGGGAGAGAGACAAACGCAGACTTAGACGACACTCGATCTGATCTCCCCTGACCCCTTGTTGTTTGATTGGGCGGTTTTCATTGTCTGCATGATGCCAAAGGGAGGTTCAGATGCCATTAAGCGGCACTTTGTGCAGGGCGAACTTGTGGGGGCTGTGGACAAGGGCAACTACAAATGAAAGTGCAGGTACTGCGAACATCCGAGCACTGCGAATCGCTGCACTAAGCACTTTATGTGGAGGACGAAGGGGCCGAAATGTAACATGGCGAGGGTGAGTGGTAGACTGTCGGCGGAGGAGAAAGAGAGGAGAGAGTTGGGCCGACTTGAGGCTATTGCTCTAGTTTTGGGAAAGCGACAAGGGCATGAGGATGTGAACGAATTTGACGAATGTAGTTCAGACGAGAGGAGGATGGATGAGCAGGTTGTGGGGGAGGAGGATGAGTGCAGTAGCCCAACCTTTCCGCAGACAAATACCCGAAACCAGCCAAATAGTGTGTGTTCATCCAACATCCGGGCACGACAAACCACGCTCGAAGAGGGTGGGGCTACTGTGTCAAAGAATGAGGAAGCCCAACGGTCAATTGGTGATTGGTTGGTGTTTGATCGGGTCCCATTCACAATGGTGCGCAACAAGAACTTCTTGAGGATGTTGCAGAAGGTTCGCGAAGCGGAGCGGTCCTTCATCCCTGCGAAGTACGATGTGCAGCAAACGAAAAGATTAGACCTCTGCGAGGCGGGTGTGGTGCAGGGAGTAGCGCGACAACAAAAAATGGGCACGCACAGGCTGCATGATCCAACTGGACGGGTGGATTGATCGGAGAGGACGACCACACTTGAATGTGATGGTCTCCTTTCCAACCGGTGTTGTTTTTTGGAAATCCCACTGCATGTCAGGAAAGGAGAAAGGATCAGAGGCTTACTACAACATTCTGTCGGAGTCAATCAAGGAGGTTGGTGAAAAAGTTGTAGTCGGTGTCGTCATGGATAATGCGGTTATGTATGCAAGAGTGGGAAAAGGCAACGACTTGGTGAAGGAGGTTGTGGGAAAGAAGAATGACTTTGTGAAGTTCTTCATGATTCAGAACCACCAACATGTACGTGACATCTTCTACGTGCACTCTGGAGGGAGGCAGCTGTTGCGACCTGCTGCAACACGGTTCGCTACAAAGTTTCATATGCTCGACCACCTAAAAAAGCAACGCAATGCACTGGTTGTCGCGGTTAACCATGATGCTCGCTGGGAGCTGACCGTGGTACCTCATGCGCAGTGCGAAATATTCTACGAGGTAGAGGAGATCGTCCTTGATGGAGCGGGATTTTGGGAGGGCATCAACAAAGTCATCTCCGCTGTTTATGACATTGTCCTGCTGCTGAAGGTGGAAGATGACTGGACCCACTGTCAGCAAAGTGTATGCGAAGATGGATAAGGTGGTCGAAAGATTGCAGGCAATTCAAAATTGAAAAACGACGAGGGGGAGGACATCGAGGAAATGGTAATGCGCCGATGGAATGCTATGACCACACAACAACATTGTGCAACATTATTCTTGGATCCAGAGTACCACTCGTACGAGCCACAAAACGACCCGAAGATCCAAGATGGAGGGGACGCTCGCAGGAAGTGATAGAGCAGGTGGAATATGAGGTCTATTGTTGGGTGTAGAACATTGGGAAGTTTTCCACGGAGAAGGCGATGGAAGCGGCGTGGAAGCAGAACCCTACAGCATGGTAGCTTCGGTGGTGTACCGAGTTATGGTACTTGCAGCCACATGCCATTCGCCTTCTTGGCCAGGGAACATCTGCCTCGGGTTGTGAGAGAAATTGGAGTCTCTTCGAGACGATCCACACAAGCCAACGTAATGGCTTGGCCCCCGAAACAATGGAGAAACTCGTGTACTGCATGTGGAATATGTACCTGCTTGACACCTTGCTGTAGATGCCCGAGATGGGCCAAGATGTGGTTGACTGGGATGACCCGCCAGCCAAAGAAGAGCAGAAGGAGCAAGCTGAGCGGGAAAAGTTCGCTAACCGCAGATTGAAGCGGATTGAGTCGAGTGGGGAGGATGTTGCTCCACCTGATGATGAAGGGGGTGAAGAAGGTGGTGATGAGGCTGCTGATCATCGCCGTGAGCCATGCGAATTGAATGCCATTGAGAATGGGCAAGAGGAGAACTGGAGACAGTGGAGAGGACTAACGAAGGCCGGCATGTATATGGCCTCACGTTTGCAAAGACAAGTGCGCAAGAAGGCACGGTCCTTGGGAACAACGGAGCATATGCACAAGCATATGAAGCCTAATGAAGGCAGGTGGTTGAGCAAATCCTCGTGGTGCAGCAACAGCACCGCAGGCTGTTCAACAAGAAATATGCCCAAGAGGCAGGTCACGAAAAAACAACATGGCCCCTAAGAATGGAGAAGCTTCAAATGTAGCTGCTATAGAGGAACAGGGCACCAAACGCCAAGCAAATGCAGAGGAGTGCATCGGCAACAAGGATGAGAATGAAGGAGAGGGGGGTGGAGGTGGTGTAGCAAATCCTCGTGGTGTTGCGACAACAGCACAGGTTGCGGAGCAAGAAAAACGCCCCAAAGGCAGGCCACACAAAAACAACATTGCCGCTGAGAATAGAGAAACTTCAAATGTGGCTGCTATAGAGGAACGGGGCACAAAAAGCCAACTTCAAGCAGATGGACAGGAGTGCAATGGCAACGAGGAGGGGCATGAAGGAGAGGAGGGTGAAGACCACGGTTTTCAACGAAAGAGGCGTCGTGATAGGGGACAATCTGAACAGGTCACTGTTGTCAACTTGTCGCTACATCAGAATATGGCACAAACGACGAATAACGCTCTGTAAGTGATAAACGTCGAAAGGTGTGTGTGAGTGTGTGTGTGTGTGACATAGAGAGAGAGAGAGAGAGAGAGAGAGAGAGAGAGAGAGAAAGAGAGAGAGTCCTGTTTAGACGTCTGGAGTAATCTGAACTTTGAAGTTTGAAGTTTGAACTTCAAATCTCAAAGTTCAAATTTCAAATTATTTTTATTAAAGGTTATTCGGACTTAGGAATAACTTCATGCCAGTTTGGTGCTTGTTGAGCAGTGTGCAATCCATGTGGTCTTTGCTGACTTTTGACTTTCTTTGCCGAATATAGATGTGTACATCAGACGATATGTTCAACAAGTTGCCAAAACTTTGTTATTTTTCCCACTTCCCTTTTTCCCACGTCCCCCATTTACCCCAGGCATTTTTAGGTTTTTCATTGTTTCAGTCTTTGCAACTTTGCATAGCACTTCGTACTTGGCATAGTTTCACTTATCGTACTTTGCATAGCACTTCGTACTTTCCAAATCATAAAGAAAAAGACCGAGAATGAGGCTCCATCAGACAACAGCACTGGGACGGAAAAAAATGGTCACGACTCACAAGCCAAAATGAGAAAATGCTTTCATTGTTATTATTAAGATAGCAAAACAATAAAGCAGATCCGGCCTGATCTGCTGGGGCGAAGGACAACGATCTGAAAATAGGAACAGGTTCGGTCTCCTCTCTTCACCAATCAATTCCGGACAGCCGTGTCAAGGCCTCATAGAGGGTCACCCATGACTGCGAGGGAAGCCAAGAGCACACTGCCGTCGCTCTGTGCACTACGCCTTTTCCACAACTCCCGGTGTTGGCAGCCCGAACTTCAGCGGCTCGGCTTTTGGTGGTGAGCCTAGTTCTACTTCGTCACGACTCATGAAAACCGAAGACGGTAACCTAGTGGCAATCATGGCGGATGCAGATCAACCTCGATCCTCTATTGTTCCCTACGAAGGAAACCTACCCGCTAAATCTGTCACATCGTTCAAGCCAAGTTGTAGAGCCCGCGGGTAGTTCAGAACCATAGTAAGGTAAGCAAGCTCGTTTGCAACAAAGCATACTGCAGACTCAGCATCAGCACTACCGTAACGTCCGTTTCTACTAATGCTGCTCAACGGAAAGCAATTACGCTGCATTTACCCTTCTACCGAACGGACAATGGGCGGCGGGCGCCGCTCATTGCCCTCACACAGGCTTGCACTGTCACCGACCGCACTTCTTCCAGCGCCCACCATGATGACAATTGCAGCACTTCCCTCATG